TTGGTGTTGAAGGTTGGTTGTTCACCGGAATGTACAGATTTGGACACCTGCAAAATAAATAAAATATCGCAATAGGGGAAAAGGGAAGGGGACTAAGCACGGGTTCCTTGTTATTTGCTCTGCCTGAGTTTCGAGCTCCGCCGAAAATGGTGTTTCTGGTTGGCTGGGTGTTGTGCACGTTTGGAGAGAGGAAAACAAGTGGTTTTTTAGTGTTGCTGGAAGTGTTTGAAGGTTGTTCCAGGTGGGGTTTGTTGTGGAGATCTAAATCCGGCGGTGGTCTGGAGAGGAGAAGGACACTTGAGAGTTGTTTGACTACTGGAAAAGGTGGGGTTCTGGTGATTGAAGATGGGATTTTTGTGGTGTTGGGTGGTCTGGAGGGTGGCGTTTCGCCGAAAAAAGAGACCGGAGACAGTGGGTTTTTTTTGGGTCTGTTTGGTGGTGGACTCGCCGGTTTCCGGCGAAACTCCGGTGAATTAGTCACCGGAAAAATAATGAACAATAAAAAATCTCTTAAACACTAAGGGGTCGTTTGGTAGAGTGTATAAAAATAATACCAATAGAGTGTATTAGTAATGCATGTATTAGTTATACTTGTATTAGTTATGCATAGATTATTTCTTATGCATTGTTTGGTTTGGTGAATTAAAAATAGTATGCATTGTATAAAAATATTTATTTACAAAAATATCCTTCACAATTATGGTGGAAAAGATGTAAACGTACTTTTGAGGGATAATTGAGTCTTTAACCATATTAATGTATGTATTAAATCCTTTGCATTATTAATACCTAAAAATTCATGGTATTAGTAATACACTTCTCAATACACAATATAGTGTATAACGAATGCAATCATTAGTTATACATAGCATGAAAAAATGCACCAAACAAGGGATTACTAATACACATAATAATGGGCAAATTACAGAAATCACATACTTTTAAGGCAAAATTACAATATATCCTTTAAAAGTTTATAATTACAGAAGTCCCTCAAACGGATACAATAATATAAGCGCTGATACATTAATTTGATGCGCGAGATACATTAATCGTTAAGTAAGATACATTACATTTTATACATGATACACTAATCTGATGTACATTTTATACATGATACACTAATATGATGTGCGAAAATGAGGGATTTTGGAGATTTGTAAAACTTATACGAGATAATGGTAATAAGTAAACTAAAATGTGGGATTTCTGTAATTTTTCCTATAATTAATGCATGCATTATTTTTGCTAATACACTCTACCGAACGACCCGTAAATATCTGAAAATACCCCCTAAATTTTATCCACCACCCCTTAACCTAATAAGTAAACTATTCTTTATATAGGGAGTTGAAAACTACAATACCACTATTTTAAAATCATGGGTCAAAATCACCAGTCAATAAAATATATGTATATGAAATATTACTATATCGGAATGAATTTCTGGATTCTGCAAAATATCAAAATGAATATTAACAAATGTAACAGATAAAATGAATATTAAGAAATGTAACGAACGTAACCAATGACATGTAAAAAATACAATTTAACAGAAATAATGATTTTATAAAAAATGAACAAATATTTGAACGTATTCAACCGGTTGTGACAAAATAATATAAAGAGAATTAACCGATAAAAATCCTAATAATTTGAGAATAAGGATAATTATCAACAAATTGCATTAAAATGACAAAACATGTATTTTGAACTATTTAAAAAATAAAATACTTAAAAAGTATTAACTTTAGAAATATCATACCAAAATGTGGTGTCAACACTTATCACCAGAATTACATCATCACCATCAAAAGGTACAAACTCACCACCAAATATCACTACCACCATTGTCAATATTGATTTTTTCTTCTCCACCACCTTCAATTCCCGCCTCTTTATCACCCCACCAACAAATCCATCATTATATTTTATTTCTTTAAACTTACCAAAGAGAAAAATCAAATATAATGAAAATGATGAAATCGAATAAGCATTGAAATAGGATATGATTTGGGGGGGGGGGGAGAGGCTTTTTGGTGGAGGTATAGTGGGGTGGATGGAAATTGGGTATGAAAAAATGATGAAAAAAAATAAAGAAGAAGAAGATGGTTGCCTGTGAAGAAGAAGAACAAGAGGCGTTGGGTGGAGGTAGGGTGATAGTAAAAGAAGATTTTAATTTATTTTTTTACTTTATTTACTGTCAATTTTCTTTTTTTCTTTTTTGACACGTCAGTTTTAGGGGGAAAAAAATTCATTTTTAAATAGTAAAGGTGTGTAATAGGTCGTCATGATAGTTTAAACGTGTAACTGACTTTTCGAGACAAGTTCCAAGGATGAATTTATACCTTTTCCCAATAAATGGAGTCTCATACAAGTTTTGTGTGCCACATCATATTTGTGCCTCATACATAATAAAAAATTTCTAGAGACACCACCACGACATTCCAGCCTCATAGGTATCACCATTTTCCTAAATAACTAAATATCATCATTCTTCTCGAAATTTTCATCATCCACAATTTTAAGTCATTTTTTTATCAACGTCTTTGTTCAACACTTGAACCACCATAAACCACTTGATGACAACGAATCACCACTAAAATACATCAATATGCCTATACTTGAACTTATGCAATATTTCATAAGTCGTCTGAATAATTGCATGAAAGTTGTTATTATAAGAAAATTCAATTATAAATAAATGGTCATCTCAACTCCTTACGAATTTCAATACACCGACATATAGCATAACTTAAATTGTTTGAATAGTGCGCTCGTCTTGTCTATCAATTTAAAGATGAAAAGTTGTACCAAGGTTCACTTGAATAGTTAAGCTTTTCTGAAAGAATCTCCAAATAATTTGCCGTAAATTAAGCCCCTCTATATGAAATAATAGAGATCAATACACCACGAAGTAGAACAATCTCATGGATGTAAAGCTTAGCATAATCTTCGATCATATATGTTGTCCTAACTGACAAGAAATGAACCGACTTTGTCAACCTGTCCATAATCACCCCAATAGAATCACATTTCCGTTGTACGAGGTAACCTTGTAATGAAATTCACATTGGTTATTTTCTATTTTCACGTCAGAATTCCCATGTTTTGAGTTATACCTCCAGGCCTCTGGTGTTCGACTTTCACCTCTTGGCAATTTAAACACTAAGCTACCAACTCTGCAATATTTTTTTTCATGCTATTCAATCAATAAATTTGTCAGAGGCCATGGTACATTTTTGTCTCCCTTTGACGAGTTGAATAACGAGAATAATGGGTTTCTATTATAATTTTTTTTCCAAAGCTTCCCCATATCAAGTACACATAGACGACCTTGACATTGGAACACTTCTTCCGCAAGTTCAAATAAAAATTGCTTCTCCTGCGAAATTATGTTCCTTAGCTTTATGAACTTTGGATCCTCATATTGTTGTTACTTTGTCATTGTCATGGAAGAAGATTCTGCAGTACTATGAACAATAACTACCATGTCACCTACTTTTAATAACCAATCAGTAAGTTACCTGGCTGATGAACTCTATGCCGATTCTGCAGTTCCTTTGTCTCACCACATTAGTTTACTCCAATTGATCTGAACTCTATGAAGACGTTAACTTTGTCTTGTAACAAACTCCGAACAAACACCAATTGGCTCTACTACCTTTCGTGAAGATAATTTACAACTTGATTCTACTTGTGGACACAATCACTATTAAACAATGATTAGACTAATTCTTTAATGTGTTGTCATGCGTTCTTTGATCATACTTCTAATTGCTATTACTTGAAAGAGAACATTATTTGCTTGTGTGCAATCATCATCTCATTAGGTGACATTTCCTCTTTATTTATAATCACACCTCCATGTCCTTCAATGCCTAGGGTTAAGAAAATATTTTTCTTGTAGGACATTGACTTGCTTAAGAAAAATGAGATTTTATTCTCATGAGTCTTTTTCTTGTGTTGTTTTGACTTTGCTAATCTTATTAGGACTCTGCTTTCTTTCTCTTTTATTTAGTCTTACTTCTGTATCATTTCATACACTATCAGCTACACCATGCATTCCTTATCATAATGAAACCTAATTTATCGATAAGAACAAACACAAGACAATAAAAGTAACTAGTAAACCTGATTCATGTTGTCTATAAATAATACTCCCTCTGTCCCATTTTATGTGGCAACATTTCCTTTTTGGTCAGTCCCAAAAAGAATGTCACATTTCCTTATATGGTAAGTTTATAAAGGTACAATTTCTCTTTTATCCTTGTTGGTCCCACTTAATCTTAAAATAATACTCCAATACATTTATGAGGAGAGAGAAAAAAGAGTCTACTTTTTAAAGGGCAATTTTGTAAACATTTCAAAATCTTCATTTATTTCTTAAACTCCGTGTCCAGTCAAATGTTGCCACATAAAATGAGACGGAGGGAGTATTAGAGATTAATATTCAAATTCATAGAGGTACCTAGATGTCTCACATTCATAACCAAACCTTTCATCTGTCTTGGTAAAAATAATAATAATAATAACAATTTTACCTCTTGGAAAGGAAAATTTCTGGGAAAAAACTTAGAAGCCATGCCCAATAAAAGTGAAAGTTTTATATAGAGATAAGAACAAATAGTCATAGATCTTTAGCCAAAAGGCCAAGAAAAACATAATAGTTATTATAGCACATGAAACAAATAGAATTTCAGTATAATTATTTACTATATAGTTTTAAAATATACTACTCCCTCCGTCCCATTTTATATGATGTACTTTGATTTGGCACAAACTTTAAGAAAAATGGAAAGACTTTTAAAACTTGTGGTCCAAAATGAATGATAGAAATTTGTGTGGTTGTAAATCATTTCATTAAGGGTAAAAAAGACATTTTATAGGCAAATTGTTACTTAAAATAAAAATGTGTCATTCTTTTTGGGACTGACTAAAAAGGAAAGTAAGTCATATAAATTGGGACAGAGGGAGTAGTATTATTTTTTTGTCAAACCAACTATACCCACAAAATAGAAGGCAAAATTTAGGATGAGAAGACGAGAAAGCCCAGTAGAGAGCAGCCAACGCTCCTGACGGTTATTTCTACACATTTGGTTTCTCGTTTCCTCCGCCCCTTTCTTTCCTTTTTATGTCCATCAATTCTACAATCATTCATCTCTTACTCACATTTCTTGTAATTCATCCATGGCGATGTCTTTCTCTGCAACAAAAGTTTTGCAACCTTTGCCCCTTAACTCTACTAGATCTGCTGAAAAGCCCCTTTTGTGTCAATCTCTAAAGGGTAGCTCCTCCTTTCTTGGATCATCTTCTCATAAGCTTTCCCTCAAGAAGACTTTCTATCCTCATCAATCTCAACGCCGATCCAATAATGCTGTTGTCGCCGTTTCTGATGTTGTTAAGGAAAAGAAATCAAAGTCCAAATCTTCTAGCTCCAATCTGGTATCTGCATTTTCTTGATTTTTTGCCCCTTCTTTGTTGATTTTGGCTTTGCAAGCTTAATTTTTCATTTGGGTCATGCTCAATTTTTTGCTTTTGTAGCTCTTATCTTATTAATGTCTTTTTATGGCGATTTAGTGCTTGTTTGTTTAGATTTCTCGTATAAAAATTCTGTTGCTTACTAAAGATTCGTCCTTTTTTAGATCGTTAAGTCTTTTGAGTGTTCTTTGTGTTGATTTAGTGCTTATTTTTGAATCTGTCGTATGACATTGTAGTTGTTTGCATGATTCGGCTTGTTTGTGATTTTGTTAAATAGTTGTGTCTGTTGGTCCATCCCAATTTTGATAATTTTGGCATTTGCAAGCTCATTTTTTTTTTTTTTTGTGTCATGCAACTTTTGACCCAGAGTAGTTATTGTGGTAATTTAGTGCTTAATCTTCTTAGAATTTCTCTTATAGCATGTAGTTGTTTGAAAAGATTCGGGATTCTGTGATTTTTACTCAATTATCTGTGTCTGTTGTTTCATTTAGTTGATTACTAAGGAGGAAGGATTGGTACTGTATGAGGACATGGTGTTGGGAAGAACTTTTGAGGACATGTGCGCCCAAATGTATTACAGGGGTAAAATGTTTGGTTTTGTGCATTTGTACAACGGCCAAGAAGCTGTCTCAACTGGTTTCATCAAGCTCTTGAAGAAGGAAGACTCTGTAGTTAGTACTTATCGTGATCATGTCCATGCATTGAGCAAAGGTGTCCCAGCTCGTCAAGTGATGAGTGAGCTATTTGGGAAGACCACGGGCTGTTGTAGAGGCCAGGGTGGATCTATGCACATGTTTTCCAAAGAGCACAACGTTCTTGGTGGTTTTGCCTTTATTGGTGAGGGAATCCCAGTGGCTACAGGTGCTGCATTCACTAGCAAGTACAGAAGGGAGGTCTTGAAGGAGGCTGATTGTGATCATGTCACTCTGGCCTTCTTTGGTGATGGAACTTGCAACAATGGACAATTCTATGAGTGCTTGAACATGGCCGCGTTGTGGAAATTGCCCATTATCTTTGTTGTTGAGAACAATCTGTGGGCAATTGGGATGTCCCACTTGAGATCTACTTCTGATCCTGAAATTTGGAAGAAAGGTCCTGCCTTTGGGATGCCTGGGGTTCATGTTGATGGAATGGATGTGTTGAAGGTGAGGGAGGTAGCAATGGAGGCTGTTGGCAGAGCTAGGAGAGGGGAAGGTCCCACTTTGGTTGAATGTGAGACCTACCGGTTCAGAGGACACTCTTTGGCTGATCCAGATGAGCTTCGTGACCCTGGTGAGTGTTCCATTTCCCTTCTGTTCCCTTGCCCAACTATCTTAAATTCTTCCAGTTTACTTGTGTTATTATCCTCAAGCCACTTGTTGCTGTTTCTTCGATACTGCTGCTTTTTATCTGTGTTACCCGACAATGATTGTAGCCCGTGTTTTCTAAGGTTTGGAAGGGTAAACCTTTAGTACTTAATAGAGAGCTATTAGTTGATCAAATTAACTTTAGGCAGCTTGTCTGAGGACTCATTAAATGCTTTTGACTTACCTCTGACATTTTTGTAGTGAATGCTGTGTGTAACCAAACAATTTCTTAGCACAGTGGCAGACCACTTCTTTGTAGTAATATGTCTGTACTATGACATGGCAGAAAATTGGATAGTGCCATTTTGTATGAGAAGCCTCAAATTGGCTGATTGTGTTGAAACTGTTGAGATAGTGATTTATGTGAGCAAATGTGTAAATGTAAATGAGGAGCACATCTATTTGATTATTTATAGCTTCCATTTACACTTAGGCAGATGTTACATGAAGTAGCTCAGGGACACCACTAGATGTATTCGCTTATCGAGTTATACCTCCAAAACAAAAGGAACAAAAACACCAAAAAGGAGCTCTAATGCTCCAAAATTCCTTTGTAGAAATGCTGTAAGATATATGACCATGTACCATAAGAGAATGAGCCTTTTAAACTCTATTATCTTATTTTGTTGCACATGTACCCTTATATGTGATCCACATATTTGGAGGCAATTACGTCATTTCTTTGACCTTAATTTGTTCGTTTTGGTAGCTGAAAAGAATCACTATGCCACAAGAGATCCTATCACTGCTTTGAAGAAGTATATGTTTGAGAACAATCTGGTCAATGAAGCAGAGTTAAAGGCCATCGATAAGAAGATTGATGAATTGGTTGAAGAGTCTGTTGAGTTTGCAGAAGCAAGCCCTGTTCCAGCTCGTAACCAGCTGCTAGAGAATGTATTTGCTGATCCTAGGGGCTTCGGAATTGGGCCTGATGGAAGGTACAGATGTGAGGATCCTAAGTTCACTGAAGGCACAGCTCAGGTCTAGTTCTCAAGGTTGTGCTGTGTGGACCTGCACAAGATGGCCTTCAGTAGTTGATGATAAGCAGGGTTTCTTTAGTAATTATTGATATTGATATTGATAGCACTCCTACACATGTATTAATATCTTTCCCCATGAGAAAGATCTGAGGTTTAGTTACTTTATAGTTTCAGTTTTGTTCAGGGTTGTGTTCTCTTTATCTTGGACATTGTTTGTTAGTTGTTACTATTCATGAATGACAAAACCTGAAGGGCCTTGCATTCCTCTTTTTGCACATTCAATGGTTGTAAGTGGCTAGTCTCTTGGCAAGTCTTGTATCATTTGTTAAATTTCTTTCAGCTTCTTAGCTCTGTGCCGTCAAGTTAACTCTACTTATTGCATCCTTGTAAAGCTGGGGATGAATTGTCTTCAGGAGACACCAATTTGGTGGGTGCTATTGTTTATAATATTCATTAGCTGGTGTACATTGTTGATACTTGATACCAGTATTTGCGTGGTTCTGCCAATATCATGGAGGCTATATCATTAAGTTTGCTCCTAAATTTCTATGGTCAAAATATTCCGGTGAAAGAGGTGTCTGTAGATCAAGTAGGTACTTGATCTTTAGTGGTCTTAGTTAAACAGAATGAAGAGGTGTATGGGGATTTATTAAGAATTCTAAGGTGTTGAATGACCAGGCCTGGTTATAGCGAAGAGCACGCTTTCGAGGGTGTGTTAATGCTCCTTCCATTAGCCATCTGTATTACTGAAACAGTGAAAGGGAGAGTAGAGAGTGCCAGTGGACTTAATCATGATTAGAAATTTTACTAGATTAGTAGATGTGTTTGAATCTTCAATGTGACATCAACTTGTGCATCTATGATTTTGACTTGTAATATGTAATCCAAGTGCACAGATAGAAGTCCTGTCCTGGCTTTTGGTGGAGTTTTCATCAAATTCATTGTCCAATGGCTGTTTTATTTGTGCTGCATCTTCTCCTCAACAAACCTCAAGAGCAATGCTTCTTTGTTAGTAGAAGGAATCTGCTTTGATCCAGGCGTTTTCTAGATGCAACAATATTTTAAGAAATTAGAATTTGTGGCATATATACTGAAAGAAGAAATAAGCACATGCAACTAGATACCAAAGTGGGACACCAAAACACACACAAATCATTTCCAACTTTGGGTGTGCACAAGTAGATACTAAAACTTGTACAAGATTGAACAAGTAGACACATCACACGTGCGACCTACATGGCATCCTATGTGACAATTCACATCCTATAATATGTCACGTAGGATGCGCGTGTCTACTTGTTCAATTTTATACAAGTTTAACTGCTTACTTGTGCATACTCAAAGCATAGGTGTTCACCAACATTTGAAGACGATGATTGACTTTGAGTGCAATGTTTGCTTTGTGCACTTTGCACCATGAGGTCGCATGTCAAAAATCTTCCAACCACCCTTACCAATAGATGGGATTCGAACCCAGGACCTTCAACATCAACCAGTTCACCAAGTGTCTTAGTGTGCCTAAGAAAATAAATATTAATATCTCAAGGTTTATAAACTATATATACATAATTTTTCTAAAGTTAACGGGGTGCATGCACCCACATCTTTCTACATAGGTTTGCTTCTGACTCGAAGTTGGAGAACATAAATGTCAATTAAAATCAAGTTAAATGACATATTTATGTATTATGCCAAAAGAAAAAGATATTGTTATGGTGGGGACTAGGGAGGGGATTCCCAAACACAAATATTTTATAAATAATTATTCTTCTGTCCCATTTTATGAGACACCCTTTTCTTTTTAGTCCGTCTAAAAAAAAATTCACCTTATTATAATTAGAAATAACTAAATTTTAAATTCTTCTTTTATTATCAATGAAATGTAATTTACAACCAAATAAAAATCTGAGAATTGATGTAGACCACAAGTTTCAAAACTCTTCATTTTTTCATAAACAACTTATCGACTCAAATAATGCCATTTAATTTTGGGAAAAAGTAAAGCAAAGCTATTAAAACCGTACAGCTAGAGTTTGGCCTTCATAAGTAGGAGAAGCATCTGAAATGTTCCTAAACCTTAATTTGCTCAAACGAAAAAGATTGATTTCAGAGGATTCGCCTTTGCAGTAGAATCATCCAAATTCTCGAATTAGGTATGGAGAGAGGAAGAGGAAGGTGGGGATCAGTATCTCGTGGTTTGATTCCTCTGCTAGGGCTGCATACAGTGAGTGAGTATTCCAGATTAGACAGAAAACCCCCTATTACTGCTGCACTTCTTGCCGCTAATACCATTATTTACTTGAGGCCCAAATTTATTCATCCTTTCCTCCCCACAATCGATCAAGTTTGGTTTAATCCTCACCTTATCCTCAAGGTAATCAACCCTTTTTGATTTTGTTTCTTGCTGGACACCATATGTGACTAAAGTTTGATTCTTTTGTTGTTTTTCTAGACGTTACTTAGCTTTTGGTATGGGTAGTTTGATACTAATAATATTATGGCTGTGTTTGGTACAAAGGAAAATGTTTTTCTTACTTACTTATTTTATAGTGTTTGGTAAGTACGCAAGAAAATATTATTCAAACAGTATTTATGTCATATAGCAAAACACTATGAGGCGGAATGGGATGGGGAGTGGGCGTTCGGGGGTGGGGATTGCAGGGATTGGGTTGGACAACTTCTTTTCCCTACTTTCATTAGGGAAGTTGTTTTTCGAGAGAAATATTTTTCCAAACATTTTGACCCACCATACATGGGAAAATTGGAAACCAAACACACCCTGTGCCTGAAAATTTTAACTAGATGGCAACCACGATGTTGTTTGATCACAGCAGAGAAGAACTGCTATTTCATATGTAAAATATTGTTTTTTTTTTGTAAAATAAGCTTAGCATGTGTAAAGGTTTTCTTAAATGTTGATGAACTTATATGGCTTCTATCATGGCCTAAAACACCAATTCCCTCTTTGAAGATAAAAGAAATTGCAGGTTTCTTCCCTCTAGCTGTAAAACTCTCGATAGAGTTATGTAGGATACAAATGATAAGAGACTCCTCTGTGCGAAGTTGTTTGGTTATAGTATTCATTGGATGAGTTTTTTGTCTAGAGTGGACTCATGGGTTTGTTGATAAATTGCAACTTATGTTGCTCGTACTTTTCAAAAATGTCAATGGGTGCGGGTTGGATACTCCAAAAGTAGTGCATTTTTGTAGAATTCGACACGGATGCGGCAACATATTTGGAGAGTCCGAGCAACATAGGTTGCAACCAATTCAGAAAAATCAATTACTGTTAACTCTCTTACTACCTGCTTAGTTTGTTGATTTATCACATTTCCATATTGTTGGTGCCCTTTGAGTAGATATTGCTTCTATGATTCGACTGTAGTAAGCAATATGTGCCATATTAATCTATTTTCCCGAGCTTTAACTGTTATTCATAGTTTTGGGAGATCGAATTTCAAACTATTATGTTGGCTTCACACTTGCTTTTGCTGGTGCAGTATACAGACCTCAAGCGATTCTTCCTGTCGCCGTTCTTCCACATAAATGAATCTCACCTGGTGTACAATATGCTTTCACTTTTGTGGAAGGGTATTCAATTGGAGATATCGATGGGTAGTGCAGAGTTTGCATCAATGGTTGCAACCTTAGTTGCTATGTCCCAAGGTGTCACACTGTTGCTTGCAAAATCACTTCTGCTGTTCTTTGATTACGAGAGACCCTACTATAATGAATACTCTGTGGGTTTTTCTGGTGTCCTCTTCGCCATGAAAGTTATCGTCAATGCACAATCAGATGAGTATACCTCTGTACATGGACTTATGGTTCCTACTCGTTATGCTGCCTGGGCAGAGCTTGTTCTCATACAAATGTTTGTCCCTGGTGTCTCATTCCTTGGCCACCTTGGGGGAATACTAGCTGGCCTTCTGTATTTGCGATTAAAAGCGTCATATTCAGGTCTGAATCCAGTTAGACAATTCATGAGAAGCTTTAGCCATGCCCTGAGCTGGCCTTTAAGATTAGTGAAGAGCTTATTTCGAAACCGACCAAGAATTACTGGGAGAGGAACTGCTGGTGGGAGGATTGCACGAAATACACTTCTTACGTGGAGATGTGATGCATGTACATTTGATAATTCAGGTAGGCTGAATGTTTGCGAAATGTGTGGCACAGGTCGTACCGGTGATGCACCATCATCCCCTGGTCCAACAAGTGAGATACGTGATCTATCTTTGGAAGAATTAAGGCGTAGGAGGATTCAACGATTTGCTAGATCATAAGGCAAATTGTTATCAAGTTTAGATGGAAATGTCATAATCGCATTCATGTAGATAGTCAATATGGGGCCTTAGCACCCATCACGGTGTTCGTCAGACTCGTGTTATTCTAGATGGTGGAGATGTTATTGAATGTGAACCAATATTGGTTTATGTAAGGGATGGAGAAAATTGCAGAAAATCGAACAATTATCCAATATTTGCCTTATGTAACACGTTGGGATTATTTAGCTACTGTGGTAAAAAAGTAATAACCATAAATGGATTCGAACAATTAGGCAATATTTACGTACCTAAAAGGGTTGGCTATATCAGAGTCATTATGTGTATTAGCTGGTTTTGCTAAGTTGATACTTCATCCATTTCAAAATAAGTATTATTTTTCTATTTATTTTATTTCAAAATAAGCATTGTTTTTACGTAATCAAGAAGACATTAATGGTCTTCTTCCAATTTTACTCTTATTCAAACAAAGTGAGTTTTTTCATAATCAAGAAACTACTTCCTCCGCTCGATTATTTGTCCAATATGGAGTTTATTTAGGCTAAAAGATGAAGGAAAAATATATTTCTGTCTTAATATGCTAAAGTGACAAATAAAAGTAAAAATATATTTGTAAAATAGTAGATAAGTATAAGTGAAATAAGTAGTTTACATAAAGTGTTCAAGCTAAAAACACTACTTATTTTGAACTGAAACGGAGGGAGTAGTTGCAGAGGACCAAGACATTGAACTCTTTGCCTACCATTACTCGATTAAAGACTTTAAAAACATGAACTTCTTTTCATTTGAGAAGTGTATTTACCTTGAATGTGTACTTCACCTTGACCTAAAACCTGGTAAACTCTTCTAATCTTGTCACACCCATTCTTTAACTATTGCATTGTGCATTTCTTAACGGCAGAACTGCTACTGCTGTCTCAAATGCGCGAATAAAAACATTATGCACGTTGATAAAGTATTAAAGATAAGCAGATTAAGTACCATAAGTGAAATTCAAGAACGGCGAAAGAAAGCCAGTAGAAGTAATTCAAAACAACAGAAGAAACTCAG